CTAGGATTATAGGCTTTTACCTCCATGCCCATGATTTGATTTGTATTTGCTTGAGGGTTTGAAATAATATTCTTATACATTGTCAGTTTTTGCAATAGGGAAAGAAATGCTTTGATAAATTCACACTTTAAAAAATAAAACAAGAAAGAACAATAAATTTTCTCATTTTTATGAATATATTGCAATTTCATTAAATATGTACAACTGTATTTCCTTAAATAATTCAGGATCAAGAGAATGTTTGTGTAACAAAACACCATCTCTTGAAACTTAAATTCTCTTAAATGAGTTAGAATAACACATCAGCTTCCATGGGATTAGTCGGTTATGAAAATGACCATTCTCATTTAGCAAAGTCACGGGAAGACACTATAAGAGGGTCGCCCAAGGTCACTGTGAATTATAAGTGAAATTTATAGCCTGCTTTCCTGATTGTACAAAGAATCAACTGATAAGTTGATGGATTTATAACTTTAGGTGGATAACCTAATAGAGGCCTAGTGATAGACTTTAATTACTATATATGTGGACTGAAATTTTCAAATACCTCTTAAACATCTCATTGTTTATCCTCAAAATATTCTCAAGTGCTGAGTTCTGTGATTGTATTTGTTTATTTTCTCTTTAGTTTTAGCATTAATACCTGATATGTAATAGGCCTGCATAGTACTTATGTAGCATTTATTAACAGAAAAAGCAGTTTTGACACATAAAACAGGTATGATCAAGTATTTATCACTGATTATTCCATTTTTTTGAAAACATACAAAAATTCCCCCCAAAACTTACTGAGTATATGCAGAGAAAAGTACTTGTTACTATGAGGTATAGAAACTAAAAACAGAAATGTGTGCTTCATCCCCAGTTCATAGTACAACACCTTAAGTGACTAATAAACTGTAGTGTTATACGTACATTATGAGAAGTAAAAATCAGTAGGGCATAAAAACTAATGAATGAAGATAGAGAGATTGGTTCTTGAAGTAAATCAGTGACTGGTGGTGATAAAAAGAAAGTTGTAAAGACAAAAATTCCCTGGAAACATGATCTAAGAGACATAACTCTAGATTAGATATATAAGAGGGTTGGGAGAGATGGGGAAAGGTCAAAAGAAATTATGATTTTCAAAAAAAGGATGAGTAAGATACAGAATATAAAAGGAAAAGCTTCTCTGAATACAAACGAAAAGAGGCATTCTCTAGAATCCTATTCCAGTTAGTGCATTAGCAACAATTTTGTTAGTATAATAAAAAGGACAAGGGAAAAATGGAGGAATATGTGAGTGAAAGGATGAATAGTTAAGATTTATTTTAATGAAGAATGAACTTTCATATTAACATCAAACTGAGTAAGGTGCCATTAACTTTCATTATAATGTTGCCAATTATCTAATAATTTAATGGTAAATGTGATAATTTGACCGGCATTTAATTGTGGGTGATAAATCTTAAGCAGATGATAATTTTACTTCCTCCCATCAATATTTGAATTTTGTGTGAAATAGAAATATGTATGCAATGCACTATATGTTTAACATTGACATGTTGCAAAGTTTCCAGATAGTTCCCACTCTCAGGCAGGCACTGATTAGAGGCCCAGAAGAGTCAGCAATAAAATTAAGTTTGTCTTTTTAGGGAGGAGAGACATCTAATACAGTTATAATCTAGCTGAGTGTGATGTCACACACGTGTAACTCCCGTACTTGTAGAGGCTGAGGTAAGAGGACCATAGGTTTGAGGCCACCTGGGGAGATTTGTCACTAAATGAGACTGTCTAAAAAAAAAAAAAATGAGTGAAGGTGTAATTCAGTGCAAAGGCTCTGGATTGAATGCATAGTAAAAAGAAAAAAAGTAATGCAAAAACAAGTATAATCTAGTATATTTAGTATTCTACTAGTTTAAAGAAATTACAGTGGCTGCCAAGAAAATGGAGTGGCAGTTTTGCTGGATTGAGAAAGATTCAGAAGCCTTCAGAAAACAGGATTTTATCAAGATATGTCATAAACAATGACCAGAATAACAACATATCGGAGAAATAATGAAAGAATATAGAGAGGAGGTAAATAATGCATAACTTTTCAGAAGAATTAACATACGCCATTTTTTAATTAATAGCTAGTATCAAGAAGGAGCTTAAATATTATTTAGAAACAGAAAAGATGGAAACGGTGTTGGGGTTTTTTCAGTTTGATAGAGTCAGCTGGGACAGAATAAGGGCCATTCAGACCGGATTTATGATAGATTGATTATTCACGGTTCCAGAAAGAAGAAGATAGCTTCACAAGGCCTTTGGGAAGCAGAGCCCTGCAGGGTTGTGGCAGCGGAAGTTAGGAGAGGCGTGTGACCGCTGGCCAACTTGTTGTTATGACCCGTTGTGTTGTTTAGAAGTGTTCCCCTTTGCCAGGTTGGACTGGTTAACTAGGAGGGTGCAAGAGGCCAAGCACAGGAATTTGAGGCTTACATTATGGAATTCAGTAAGATTAGTACAAAATTAAGGTGGTGCGGTGATTCACATTAGGAAAACCTACATCCAGCTAGGAGAGGAAAAGAAGAACTGGGTAGAAATTGTATCAAAATACGTAGTCAAACCTGACGAGCCAGAGGGAAGACAACAAAATAGATACAGAGGCAGCGTTAATATGCATGAGAGCTCTGACAAGGAAAAACAGATTTAAAGCAGGTGTTGAACTGAGTTATAGATTGTACTAACACAGTGAATCAACAAAATAAGTACAAGAGGGCTATTGCAAGAGGCTAAATGGTAATGGCAACACTTGAATCAATATAAGGGCAACACGGAAGTCAATAGGTGATGAGCCAAAAAAACCCCCCCCAAAAACCAAAAAGGATTCCGTAAACTTGTGTAGCTATTTGGGGACTTTACCAGAAAATTGACCTTGTTCTGCAAGCCTAGACAACTTTGAAATGGAGAACTGAGTTTGGGAGAGTACTGGGTTTGGTGTCACATAATATAAGTCAGGAAGATAACAACCTAAAAACACATCTTCCTCAAAGGGAAAGTATGTACAAGACAAAGAACCTGAGACATGTTTATCACATACTTTCTTAAAGATCATTGCAGAGTGGACAAAGAACAATGTCAAATGGCACCAGAGGTGTTCAGTATGAATAAGAAAAGTCTCAATGATGTGTAATATTCCCCAGGAGTCAATTTGAGTCATATTTGGGTGTGTGTCTTTCTAAGTTAGTTTTAACATTGATTTGCTGTATCACTGATTTTATTTTTTAAGCAAAAATATTATTATTCTATCTTCCCCAATATGTAATATATATAATATGAGGTAGAAAACCATATGGATACCCACACATATTTTGACAAATGTTCCTGTTTGCATATGAACATTTTATATTACTCTCCTTTAGAGGGACTATAATGGGTATTCCACAAAAAGTTGTAAAGGAACTTAATTTTTTTTGCTCACACAATGATTAATATAATCAACATACTTGTACATAGTACTATATTGATTTTTATTGAGCAAATATTGTGAAATTAATTAGTTGTTTTTTAAATCTAATTCTCCCTAATTTAGGTCTAGACTAATGTTGTTAATGTTGATATTTTAATTTTTTAGCATTTATAATTTTAATTATTATTCAAGTTTTAATAGATTTGAAAGTCTATGAAAAATAATTTTAATGATAGCAAATGATATTGTGTTGATCATAATTTTAATAGAAATGCCTTTGGGATATAATTATTCTGTGTATTTTCTGTATATTTCTGATGGATGATATTTAGTAAGTTAGTATAAATTCCTTTTAGTCTAAATTTATGAATTTGAAAAAATCAATGGTAAAGATCAAATATTAATATGAAATTTTTCTGTGTCTAGTGAGATGATGGTAAAAATTTTTCCTCCTTTAATATTTTAATAGTAAATTCAGTTAATAAAGATTCAAGGGTTATCTCCTACCATAATTCCTGGAATAAACTGTAATGTACATTATAGTTTTACTAACTTAACATTCTCTCATGCAAAATATACTGGTACTTACATCTGATTTACCTTTTCATGTGTTTATGTACTCACGTACATCATGTTTGAACATTATTTGTCTAAATGGACTCAGAATTTTTCTATCATTGGATGTTCCAGTTTAATAACATGAATTTAAATGTATTTTTTACTTTAATTTTTTATTATAGGGTCGAGACAGGGTCTCCTTATGTAGCTCAGGCTGGCCTTGAACTCATGGCAATCCTCCTGCCTCACAGCCTCCCAAGTTATTGAAGTTATTGAAGGGAGGTGCCACCAAAACCATGGATTTAAAAAATTCTCATCTCTGAAAATATTTGGCCCTCATCCAATCTTTGATGTGTACCTGAACTTTGTTTCATTCCAAGTTTCTTTTGGTAACACTTGTTTTTTTATGTCTGTTCACTTCATCTCATTTAACCTAAATTGTTAAATTTATTGTCTAAATTTGAAAATTTGTACATTTTTCCGATTTTTCTGAAAAAGCCACATCTATGGTTTTGTGAAGTACGGTTGCCAAACAAGTTGTTCATACTCATGGACTTAGGTAGTGCTTCCAAATCTCTTATTAATTCCCTGATGTCACACTTAGGGTTTATTTATTGTCTCAGTCTATTACTCTGCCTCAGAAGGAAAATACTATTTTTTAAGTAAAAATTCAATGTTATATTTTGCAGTTGATTCCAAATTTTGCATCTTTAAAGACAAATTAGACACATTAAAGAAATTTGCATTTGAATTTGGGGCATTTCTCTACTCCCTTAAGGGATATTTATATTCTTTCATCTAATTATACACATAAGTTGAAGTCTAGGATTTCCTGAAATACAGAGGAAAGTAATTTGGATGGAAGGATAAAAAAAAATGTCAAGTTTAAAATCATTCATCCTTCCCTTGACATTACTAGTGAAAGAATTGTCTAGCTAATTAGATATTCCTGGTGTTATTTGTAAATGATTACTGTTATCAAAAGCAATGGAATATTTTTAATTTTTTACAGGAAATCAAGAAAATGTCCTTCATGATTCTACCATGATATTGACTACTACTGAATTTTCACCTTACGTAAGTCACTCACAGTTCTATCATCTGTAAAAAGGAGTGGTTAAAACTTTTCCACAAGAATTTGGTCAGTAATCTCAACAGGATAAAATAACAGTCAACCAGTAAGATATCTAAGTATAATTACCATATCTACAACCACACAAAATCTAACCACAGGACAACCTTCACACAATTCTTCAAGTGTTAATACATTCTTTTTGATTAATGAAGGATAAATGAAAAATACTTCAAACATAGTTAAAGAAGAAGAAGCTTAAAATGACCAGGGACCTCATTTAAAATCAAATTCCAAGACAGGCAATAATGGTAAACAAAACAAGCAAAACTAAGATTAAAGCACATAGGTAAAGCAAGGAAATAAAACATGCCATTACTCTGTCCCAAAGTATTATAATGTTACACCAATTATATTCTACTTTTAATCTGAGTGGCTTCTTTTTACTCCTCATGCATCATGAAGATTTTATAAAATGTTCTTTGTAATGATAATGCAAAGATATCATGACAGCTATAATTTTTACCTGAAATATATATAGTTTTTCTTAGGCTTTTCTTACCTTGGTGGGGCTTTTCTGAAATGTTTGTTTAAATTGCATCTTGTTTTTAAACTTTAAAAACTAGAAAGAGATTAACTGCATTTTAATATCCAGGTTAATATAAAGGCATCATATACCTTAACATTAACTATTATAAAATAATAAAATTCCATAGGGGTAAAAGACTTGCTTAAAATAACTGGGATTTAAAATTATATTTTACAGCCTGTTAATTTATCATATGGAGTAAAAATAAACTATAGGTTGGAAATGGAAACTCTACCAAATGTCTGTGTTACAGTAAACTTAATTATACAGTGCACCATAAAATGACAGTAATATCAGAGAGTAAAAGTAGCAATTTCAGATGTGCAATAACTGCTTTCAACAAGGATAGAAATTACATCAAGTACATATACCTATTCAATCTAATACTGTTTTCTAGCAAAAGTCAGTGGGATTCACATTTAAGGGGAGGGAGAGATTTAACTAAGCTGAAAGCTACTTAGTGCCGAGAAGGCTTCCCTATGAAAATCACTGCATGTGATTGTGTTCATTTGCTAATACATAATAAGCACCTAATACACAAATTCACATTCAGCCTTTGAATGTATATGTACACATAATAGCTCCAATCAGATCATTATTAATGGATGGATCCTTGACTTGCAAAAGGGTTCTAAAATGCTTTAAAACACGCCAGATTCATGTGTATAACACTTCAAATGACTTTATAATGAAGACATTCTATTCTGAATTAAATAGAATGAATCCTAAGATTTCTGAAGCTCTTTTATATAACCAAGCCACAAACCTTACATTTAAAAATTTGAGAGATTGTCACTGACTCTTTGCATTTTAAATTGTACAGACCATTATTGACATTCTACCTTCTTTTATTATGTTTTCCAGGTTAAGGAAAATCAACCTAATTCTCTTCCTTGATATATTGGTATTGAATTTCTTGATGATTAGGTTATTAATACACCAATTATGGCCTTGAATACGTGGAATATTTCTGTCTAAATATTTATACAAAGAAGGTTATGTAAGCTGGCTGTGGAGGCACATGCCTGTAATCCAAGTACTCAGGAGGCTGAGGCAGGAGTATTGCTGCAAGTTTGAAGCCAGCCTGAGCTGCATAGGGAAACTTTGTCTCAAAAACAAAAACAAAAATCTTGGTTTGAGAGACGGCTTTGCCACTTGCTCTCTGTCTAACATCAGGACAATTCTCTATTATTAAATCTATGTCCTCATTTATAAAATTGGTATATTAATGCCCACAAGTTTTACTATTTGTCTAGGGTAGAAATAATGCATGCAAATTCCCACAACATTGCTAAGCACACAGGAGGCAGATTATGTATTAATAGCTGTTATTGTTTTCTGTCATTGTATGCATGGTGTGAAACTGGTGCTCTAATTTTAGTCTTGTTTTCTATTGACCATCAAACTCTTCTGAGTCTTGATGATATCATTGATTTTCACCCTAAGACTGAAAAAATCTCCAGAGTCCATTAAAATAATACATAATCCTATGTTTTCTAATCAGTTACTTCTTATCTCATATAAAAACTAAATTAAGCACAGTGTGGTGCCATACAACGATAGTCCCAGCCACTTGGGAGGCTGAGGCAGAAAGATCCTTGAAGCCCAGGGGTTTAAGCCAAGCCTGGGTGGTATAATGAGACTCTATCTTACACAATTAAAGAAATTAAAAGAGACATAAAGTTCTATTTCAAGAAATGGAAAAGTATAGTTGTGGCATAAAAATATTGTAGATTAACAAGTAAAAAATGTCTGAAGTGATAATTCAATGCCTTTAAGGGTAAAGGAATTGGAAGGAAAGAATTGTACTAAAAAGAAAAGGATTAAGTGCTTATATTAGTCTGCTTTCTTATCACTGAGGTGCAATATTCCACACCCACAACTTAATGGAGGAAACATCTGAATTAGTTCACTGTTTTAGGGATTCAGTCCATGGTCAGCGCGATTGGAGTCAGAAACATCATAGTGTAAGGGAGTGGTAGAGCAAAGATGCTTAGTTCATGGCCACCAGGAAGCAGAACAGGAGACACTGACAGAGAGGAACAGGCTAAAGACCATATATAGTATCCAGGGTCACACCTCTGTGATCCACCCCGGCACACTCAGAAACTTGCTTTGCTCATCTGGTGAGTATTTCTTAATCCAATGAAGTTAACAAATTAGGCTTAATAGTCATAGAGCTTAGAGAGTAGAAGAACGGAGTGAAGGAATAGTTTAATAGGAACATGTCCATCACACAATGAGTCTTCCTGAAGTTGAGCATGGTGGTAGACAGTTTGATGCTTTCAATGGCATTGGCAATTGGTTTCCATCAGCTGAAAGAAAATATATCTGCCTACTTCTTATTAACACAGGAAATTATTTTGCCCAGAGCCAAAGCTTTTTTTCCCCATAAAATTAGGAAGGTTGAAATGTTCTAGGCTTCATGACTTTAAACTGAAAAGCTGTTTTTTTATATCAGTACTTTCCTTCCTCTCTTCCATTCCTCTCACCTATAAACCCAGATATCTTCCTTCCTTCTCCCCTTCCTTCCTTTTGTATTCCCCTCTTCTTTCTCCTTCCTTCTCTTCTGTCAGGAGATAGTTTGTTCCTTTTCTCCATTACAAATTATTTATATCTATCTTTGTGCAATGTCTACAAATACTAGGGCTAAAAATTACTACTCTAAGTTTCTATATTTTCTTTGGGGAATACTTGGTATAATGATAGAATTATACTAAACAAGTAAATGTTTAAAATGTTAAATAAAACCAATTTTCTTTCATAAATATAAATATATGCTCCTAAGAGATATAATTTCAAATATTCACTTACTGGCCATGCAAGCTGTATGGCAAATGCAATGAGGTTAATGGAGGAATAATAGGATGCTCTTCTCTGAATAGCACAAACTATGATAATTTATCTCTAGAATTACTGAGACATTTAGTAATTACCTACTTTGGACTTGACAGTGCGTTATGCTCTTGATTTGTGTATATTAACTCTAAGCTTAAAGTAACTCTGGAAAGATAGATAGTATGGTTCATTTTATACATAAAAATGAAAATCAAAACTCAAGGATTAAGTCCACATTTAATGGTAAATAAATAGTAGAGGGAGTGTAAAAGCAATAAATGTCATTTTATGATAGCCTCAGAGCCAATGGAATCAAACTTTCACTCTCCTACTTCCAAATTTCCTATTATCACATAGACAGTTCCTGCTACATGTAGCTATGAGTTACTATGAAATAAGAGAGAAAACTCCAAACATATGACATCAATGTTTTTGATATCAACACTTTTTTTTATTTTCTAGAATGTAAAACATAGTTGTAACACTCATAGGGTATAAATACTCAACAGGAAAAGGTCGAAGATATCTCAATGTGTTGTCATTTGAGATCTAAGTGGTGCTTTTCAGATTGAAGTAAAGCATCTATTGTCCGCTGTGTGAGCTCAGGAAAAATATCTTGCAAGAGTTCATTATTTTTCTCCATGTCTATCCACTGTCCCCATTAAAGTTTAGTGGCACAGATGGTGTTGTGGTAAAGACACATAACACTGTCAGGAGCTGTAACATATGGCCCAAATCTGGCATTTCACATTCCCACAAGTTTCAAGGTTAAGATCAAATTTGTCACTTTTCTGACGTTCAATTAACTTCTTGTCTTTGTCTTTATGTTAAATGACAAAAGGATCTTCTATGAGAATTTTTTCCTAAGTTGATCATTTCTGTGACTGGGTATTTCTTTATTCCATTATCATTGATCTAATGATATTTGCAATTTTTTAGTGTATCCTGTGTTATCATAAGCACGATCTTTTAAGTTACTCAATTAGGAATTGAATTATACTTAAATGTATTAGAGACATTTAGAGTAGAAAGTAGTGCTTGTGCAAAGTCAAAGCCATTATACCTTTCTTCCCATATGTGTAGTTTCCATATATATAAATATGAATATATACATATATTTCCTTGAATAAAGGATTGAATATGATTATTTTCATCCATAAATTAAAGTTTTGTTATAGGATATACATGCATGTATACATCGGAGTATTCTTCTCTGGAAACTAAATTACAAAGTTTCATATGGTTACAATATTCTCAAAACAACATGATGAGAAAACATCTTACTGAGAATGAAAAGACGTTATCAGGCAATAAGGAAAACATTTAGTCTGCCATAAAGCACACATAGAAATAAGCCTGAAATCATGGACTCTCCTTGCCAGACTCTGCCTTAGAAATTCTATAACTTGTTCATCATCTCTCTGTCTCAGTTTTCATCCAGCTATACCTTTATCACAAGGAATAGAACAAGGAGGCTATCCTAGTGAAAAACCAAAACAAATTACATAATATATATGTAATATAATATATATCTGAATATAAAAGATATGCAGTCCAACACTCTAAAGAACATTGATT